CTGTATTGTTGCTGTAGTATCTACAAAATAATCAGTAGTTCAGGTTATAGTTCAAACTCAACATATTTGGAAATTTACAATTAACTATTACTTTAATGACTGAATTCAGATGCATGTTGGAAAAGGAAATTAGTTCATTCATTATCCAGTATCATATTTATGAGAAACACTCACCTGAAATTTTTCGATGTAATTCTTTATTTTCTCTTTCCAGATTTTTAATTCTTCTTTCATAAGCTTCAGCTGCTAATGTACTAATTTTATCAGAACTAGCTGATGTGGACGAATCTAAACATTCTAGATCATTGATTTTACTGAAAAAACATATAAATTTGAAATATATGTAGATTGAAAATAATTTCCTTGAGATTGAGAAACAAAAGTAAATTTTTTAAGCACAATCGACGGCTGAAGATATAAAATTTTCTTACCAGCTTCTAGTAAAGGTGAAGCCTATAAAAGGTAGATGATGACCTTTAAATGCAGTATGAGTTGCTGGTGGTACTGTATCCTGTAAAAGACAGTTGTAGATAAAGTTTCCATTATGATTCAAAAATATTCCCTATACACAGCCATAGATATAGATAATCAATAACAGATCTAATTATGCTCATCAAATGGTGTGTTTTACTCAGTATAAGTAGTGTTGGACATAATGTGTATCATTTCAATGAGCTATCAGGAGTATCTTTATACATGGTAAAATTAAATGTTGGTAAACCACCAATGATAAATGCTGTTCATGAGCAAATAAGAACAAACTTAGATTTGGTTCCATACTTACAGTGTGCCTAAAATCTGCATCATCAACATCAAAATTAGATGTATCAGTATTACTGCTAACTTCAGGTTTATATGGTGCTTCCACTGTAAAATAAATAAAAAACAGGTTTTGATTTTCATTATAAATCAAGACAAGTCATCACTGTATAAGGCAATTGAAAGATTAAATTCTCATTTCATAGAGAAAAATGCCTTTATGCATCTTAGATATGTTAAAATAGCTGACTTAGAATAGTTTAACAAGCCAATTTGAAAGCCAATTTTATTCACAATTCAAATCTCTTATCAAATACTCGTATTTGATTTCATTATATCATTAAACATGTCTAAAATCATTTAAACTTCTAACTTACTATCTCTGATATTGTCCCAATTTATACCAGTAAACCAAGGATGATTTTTAAAATCATTTAAACCATTTTTACCAAATCTTACATCAGCACCACATATTAATCTGGATATTAAATCTTTAGCTTCTTTAGATACATCAAAAACATCTTGTGGAAATTCAAACCGTGTCTAAAAATATTGTATCAACATGAACAATTCTATTGTTGAAGATAGTATCATTAACAAATTTCATCAGTTTGGTCAAATTTACAACCTGGTTTCAAAACATTTGACCAGAAATATTTGCATCTATAGTTCTACAGTTGAACAATGGTATAATGTTGACTATAGTTTTAACTTCCCTTCTTAAATATATAAATTGAGATATATAATAGAGATTGCACCTGATAAAACCTAACAATTAACAGATGTTTTCAAAATTTGATCTTAAATGTCAGATATATGTAAATTACCTGATGGTTCATGATTTTTCCATAAGTTTCTACTAATGATTCAGCATAGAAAGGTGTTTCTGAATACAACATTTCATACATACAAACACCTAGTGACCACCAATCACATTCTGGTCCATAGCAACCATGACCATCCTCCATTGCCTTCAAAAACAAAGTTAAATAATCATGATACAGAACTCGTCCATGATTTCTTCTTATGAAACCAGGCTTATGTAGCAGAACCAAAAATAGAATCTAAAGTTGTCGCAACTAGAAAATAATTTTACATACCCTGAGAATTTCTGGAGATATATAATCAGGTGTTCCAACAGCTACAGACGATTGTACCTGAAATTTATTATATTTATTTAGTACTGACCTGCAACCTGCAAAATTAAATTCTTATTTAGATTCACATTTAATAATAGAATAATAAAATAATCTTATCCAACCATTTATATAGTTTTGGTAGTAAAATTGATAACAAATAGTGTGAATAAAGTCTTTATTTCTACAAATTTCTATATAAACTACTTACAGTGCCATCTTCACGTAACTTTAAACATGAACCGAAATCAGCTAAAACAATATGTCCACTTCTATCTAAGAGTACATTATCTGGTTTAATATCTCGATGTACATAGCGTAATTTATGGAGAGAATTTATTGCCAAAACCATTTCTGCTATATAGAATTTAGCCATGTCTTCTGGTAACTTGTCTTCAAATTTACTTAATAATGTCAGTAAATCTCCACCACAATAGTAGTCCATGACTAAATACTGAAAAAAAGAGAAAACAATCAGAATACTCAATTTCAAAGAGATTTGGAAATATTTCAGATTACTACAATCAAAATTACAATGAAATTTATAACCTTTATTTGAAACTGTAATAAAATTAAATCATGGCAAGGGGAAAGAAAGTTTAAATATCTAATGGAACAATCTTATATTTACTTGGATCAGTTTCTTGACCCGTGAATGTGTGAAAGTGGATCAATATAACAAAGATGAACAGAAATAAGGTTTACATACTAAGTAATTTTGATCTTGAAATGCGTAATGTAAATTGGTAATCCATCTTCTATCACCATAAACTAAAACATCTCTTTCTTCTTTAAAACATGCAGTCTGTAATAATACAATTAACTTGTGTAAATATCAAATCTCATTAATTTCTATTCTCTTGTAAAAAGATGATACAATCAGCTAATGGAAATCGCTCAATAATGTAAACAATTTCGAGCTGAGACAAACTCTACCATGGTCAGAAACATTATAAATTTACTCAAACAATACCAAAATAGTTGATCCAATCATTGTTGATGCATTAACAATCATATTTCCTGCAATCGATTGATGAACACTTTGCACAAATTCAAATTTCTAAAATCAAGCCCCATTTCTGATTTCAATACTAAAGGATTCTTAAGAAGGAAGGAAGCTTAAAGAATACTATAGTACAGTATTACAGCACACCTGAATAGTGGTGCCACTTAAGAAGCTATGTTTGTAAATTCAGAATCTCTTTCCTTGAGCTTAAGTAATTAATAATGTTTGTTTGGAATCTTTGAATGGCAAGGATGCATTTACTGGTAGATAGATTGTCTTTGAGGTCGTCTTTAGTCTTTAAGCTTTTGAGTCCAAAGATGTGGAAGATGTTGCCAATGAGGAACGGAAACCTGATGTTGATATGCGACTGTTTTTTTTATTAAAATAAACACACCTTTCAGAGTTCTATTAAGTGACTTTTATGGATACATTGAAAACAGATAATCAGCTGTTTAATCCTTTCCTTTTTTTTTCAATTGCAATTGACTTTATAGGGTAATAGAAACTTTGATAATGAATCATACTGGATCATGTACTCAGAGTAAAATAATTGATTGTAGGTTAAAGTACTAATATAATCATAGTAAGGAAGTTCATTATTAATTCTTATTAGTAATCCTAATAAACCACTTTCTACTTAATCATTAAAATCTGTACAGTTCAAATAATATCATCATATATTATGTATTAAATGTGATAAAGAGATTTTTTTCTCATTTTAAGAAAGCTTAATGAAATCCTGTCAGAATTCCTATATGTTCAACACTGTCATAAATTTCTTGTTTGAGAAGCAGGTTATGTCACTGTATTCAGGACCTCTTTTGTTTTGCAAAATAAAATGAAATGAACGTCCTACTTTTCGGCACAATGAAAGCTAATGAAGACGGGCAACGCCATGCAGGTTGTAATGAAGGAAATTTTGCAAGGGCAGCGATATTAGCCTGCTCTTTCTCGATTTGCAACTGCCAGAGAGCTTTCCTATGTCAGCCGGGGAAACCAGGTTGAAAAACTGGGACTGAACCCTGGACCTTCAGGTTAGTAAGCAAGCGTCTAACTCACTGAGCCACCGCAGCTCTCTTTTGTTTTGAAGGTGTAGGAAATACTGACAGATATTTCAATAGACGAGTTGAGGGGCTAAATGTCGTCTTTAACACTTCTTCTTAGTGTGTTTACTACAAATGTTTGTAAAAGATAGGTTTGAATACTGTTATATATAAAGTAATGTAAAGTTACACCAATTTATTCTAGTAATAAACTGAATCAGTGATTGTTGTGATTAGAATCTTGAAATTTAATACATTAGTCAGACTATCAAATTACATATTATATGTCATAATATATGATTATTGAATGTACAGTATGTATATAGGTAGTTATAGAAATAATATCTTACAGATTGAAAGCCTGTATACTGAAGTTATCTAAATTACTAGACTGATCAAAAGAAAATTAACTGGAGCATAAATATGCAAAAGCTTTAAATATAGAAGTTAGAAGGAAAATAATTTCATATTTCCTTACAAGCAAAGGAAGCTGACAGATACAAACTATGTGCGTGCTGATGTTGAAGAGAAAGCTTGAAAGGATGTAATATCATAGATATAAAACTATTATTGGTCTTCAATAGGATTTTAGACTTCAAACTTATACTTTCCAAATTCTTCTTATAAAATTATAATTAGGTCAGAATGTATGAAACAATGTTATTTAGTTGTGAGTCAATAAGAGATCAATAATCCTTCCACCTGATTCATATTATCATTTACTATAAACAGTTCATGTACCTTACTGAGAAACATACCAAGAGCAGCTAGAAATTTAAGGAAACGTTACAAAATAATTACATTCTAGACCTACCTCAGCTCTCTTCAACATTTCCCATTTATTCAAAATTTTCATGGCAAAAACAGTTTCAGTCGATTTCTCTTTAACCACTGCCACCTAAAAGTTCAACATAAAATGAGTTCATAATATTTTCAATTTTGAGAAAAACATACAAATCGATGTGTTTACACTGACAATGAACAGCTCAGCTTTTTATAATGGCATGGAATCCAAAAAATTTTCATGAAATCAAACATCAAATTCAAAGTACGTTGTTATTCATGAAAAAATATAAATAAAAACAATTCAATACACACCTCACCAAAAGCACCACGGCCAATGATTTTAAGTGTCTCAAAGTCATCTCGTTTTAATCTATATTGCTTGATTTTACTGACAATAACTTTTGCTGAAATTAGAAAATGGTATATATAATTTACTAATGTTATTTAAACAGGACATTACAGTTTGATTTGGACTGAGCTATATTATGAATCTGCAGTGTACACACTATTTTGGTAAGAATTAGATCATGCAGTTTTTATTAATTTTTTGAAGACCTTACACAGCCTGTTTAATATTATATACTTCCTGTCATAGAACATTCTTATTGTACAAAAATTTCAATCAATTCAAATTATTTCTTGCCATTAAGTTCATTTCAATCAATCTTATTTATTTTCTTGATTTGACCAGTATTTCAATCAATGTTAATCATGGATTATTTTCTTGTCAAAACATTCTAACAACTTAAGAAAGTAACAAACATCAACTTGATAAGAATTCAGATCTTAACCCTTTATAGTAATTACTATAAATTTAGGTAGACTTTCTCACCTTTACCTTTGAAGCCAATGTCAAAAATCATATTTAAGAGTCAAACAAACTTTGAGTTTTTCATATTCAGAAATGAGAAATCTAAAGACAAATAAGAGATAGCCAATTAACTTTCAGTGGATACATTTTTTTTAATATATCAGAGGAAAAATCTCATGTTTTTATTCAGAAATTCTTTTTATCAAAGAAACAAAGTGATAAAACAACTAAGTATTAAAATGATCAAATCTGTATCTTGTTTACACTTGGTAGACTAATCATTCAAAACATCATCTTTTTTTCAATCTTAACAGTAATATTATTAGCTTATTTGTCTAAATCCAAAACATTCTTCAAGTGCAAACACATTTTCAATATTATGATTTAAAAATCTGTATATCTTATCAAAGCTTGTTTGCATGTTAACCTCTTTGATCTATAATTCATAAAGAGCCAATGTGAAATTTTACAAGTTTGATATTGCTTGGTAAATTACATGGATATTAAAGGGTTAATTCAGAAAGACTATACCATAGTCCTTATATACACTAAACAAATATTTGAATAAATCATATCTATATTATGTGAGACCTACTATACAGGTGTGAACAAGGTGATTAAAATTCAAGTTGACAAAAGGTAGATAGTTGAAAGGTACAAGTTGTACAGATTTATTCAACACACACTTTCAACAAATGAACTAATCTAACACAAACAATACATAGTCAAATTTTGACTTCTTCTTTCATCTTTTCTTTTATAACTTTGAACATGTAATGTAGGTAGTAGTTAACTAATATTGACATAAATGGTATAATGACCCACATACTAACATTCCACTTACAGTCTACAATCTGTTACTAAATCATAAGAACTTGTTAACACGTTTTTCAACTTACAAAACCTCCAAAAATATCCATAAATGCATTACCAAATACACGATTTGAAACAGTTTGAAAAGTGTTTCAATTTATGCATAGTTATAGTACTGATACTAGTAATGGCACGTCATTGATCATTGAATATGCAAATTTGAATTGGTATTTTATGCTTATTTATGGCAAATCTTTTCTGTTCAATTGAAAATTCAACTTTACACAGCCTATCTTACAAAGAGAATATAGTTATTTAATAGCTAATAGGACAACCCTTTCAGGACAAAAAAATATAGCTATCCACAGAAATCAATTTAGTTTGGGTCTTTTATGCTACTGAATCATATTCTACAATGGTGTAAATTGATCTTTCTCTGTATATGATATGTAAATCATCACAAAATGAACATCAATTTAATAATGGTCTAGATTTCTTTGTTTGAAGCTAGTAATGATAATGATTGAAGTTAAATATAGAAACTTGGCAGACAGACAATAAAGACAAAGTACACTACAGGAAGGAAATCTACTACTTTATTTTCCTTTTATTGTCAATCACTATTTTATCATCCAAATATATTGAAAATTCCTGTCAAAAAAAATACTAGCCTTACTACAAAATTAACCAAGGTCATATAACAAATATAATCAATAGAAAAGTAGACTTTTAATTTGAGAATGAAACAATCATGTTTTACAAGGATCACAACTAAGATTCACCAGGATACTGGCTACCAGCTAGTCATTGACGAAACCTGTTGCCTTTCATACAGGTTATGACATGATATTATTAACCCGTATTAAACTAAGCCCACTACACTTCGTTTTGGGGGAGTGGAAATGAGATTGGTGGCATTTAAATCTGACCAATTGATCAGATCGGTAGAACTAAAATGAGGTCATGTAAACAAAACACAACAACCCTTTGCAGCAGCCCGTTTGAAGAGATAGGAACACCTTCTTTCCAAGCAAATATTAAACAAGGTTTGATTTTCTCTCTGTTTCAATTCTTTAACTAAAATCTTACTTAATTCTGTACGTACATATTCAAAAAAATATATACTGGCACACTTTCGTTCACAAAGCGACATGACGAGTGATTTGTTTTGATTGGCTGAAATTTGCTACCAAGACAGTAGGGCCCATTTTGATTAGACAATATTTAGCTATGAATGAGTAATTTTTCTCACTGGTGTTACCACGGCCCCTGAGGAAGGGGGTGTGGTTTGGACACGATGCATTGACCCCTATCAATATAATGCGCACAATACTGTGGAGTAGTGTACCATAAAATTGTGTTCTGTTATCCAATACTGTGATGTGTGCAATGAAGTGAATTTTGTCATTCAGATAAATCAATTGTCAAGGGTATATATCTGAAAGCACAAAGATTTTATTTATGACTGTCAAAGGAAAAAAATATTTTGTAACACCAAGAAGAGCGCACTGTCTGGTTCATAATTTTAAACCAATACTAAAACTTGAGCTGAATAAGATACAGACAAAAAAAAACTTGATATTTGCACACATTGTGCTGGTATCACTTCTATTTGTAAATTATCAACAAACATAAAATATTCTCTAAAGAATGTCAGGATCATATGTCTAGAATAGAGATTACCAATTATTTTACTAATTTGTCTAGAATACTTGGAATGACAAGAAAGTAACAGGATACATTTTCTAGAACATTATCAAAACCTGAACATCTATAGACGATCATTCTTCAGACAAGAAAAAGTAACCAATTCTAAAATATCTTATTTCCAATTTACTAAACAACAAGACATCTTCTAAGTGATTCTCAAAGAGAATGAATGGTACTATATAATAATCAAGATATGTTAGTAGTGATTATATCTTAAATTTTTTTCTAGTGGACTATTCTACCAAAGAGGTCACTCTTGAACTTCATTAGATCCAAGTATACAATCAAACCAGGTTTGTGGTTCTTGTAGTTCCAGAAGAATTAATCTTTACTTTCTCCAAATAATATGCATTATGGTAGTTTACCCCTCAACTTTTGTCAAGAGTCAGAAAGTCTCATCAAACAGGAATATTTCAGTACCAGTATTGTTTTTTTTTTTTTGCATCCCAGGCTGTTCACTTATAGATAATATCAATCAGTAGTAGCTTAGGTAGGTGTTAGCCTAAACCTGCAATTATTTTATTATTTATAATCCACATGCAAATTTTTTAAACTAATTTACTTTAATTGAATTTAATTATTCTTGACCTGCATCACATGTCATTGACCTAAAATATTAGCTTTTTTCATTTCTAGCAACTTGAAAATAGTTCTCTCTCAAAACATCAAATACCATGCATATTTTACTTTCCAAGATCAAAAACATCCCTAAATAAATTCTTAACATATTGTACAATATAAGGTGGAGAGTGAGGTATAAAAATAGAATGGATGGCCCCCTGTTGCTTCATTCAGTCTAAATAACATTGAAGCCTTTAGAGAGAACTATTTGTAGGTAATTGATGTAGAGTCTAGGTATAGTAAGTAACCAGTATATAAATAGTCAATGAAATATTTTAATGGCTATATTTTAAGATAATACTGATAGTAAAAATTTCAAGCTGGGTTGTGTAATCAACAGGTGAAGAAATAAGGTGTGTGGTGCCAATTTACTAATCAAATAATATTACTCTTATACTAATTCTGAATGTGTGAGAGGTAACAATTTGAAGAGATAAATTAGATTTTCATAGTTTTGATTTCAGAATTAAAATAAAACACACACCATAATAAGTGTATGCCAATCGATCAAAACATAATATCCTATCAAAGATCATGCATTCTAATAAGGTTTATATTATTATCCAAAGTTAGTTATTTGAACAAAACGGCAGAATAGACCAGATGTCCATTTAATTCACATAATCAATGTAAAATAAATCTCCCTGGGATTGGGAATGTTCATTCTTGAAAAATGATAATAGAAATGACCTTTGTTTTTTGGAGAGTTGTAAGTAGCTATATTCATATTCATAATAATATCTAGCAGGTGATAACATCATCTGTTATTACTGACATATAGGTTCAGTAGGTCCGATAACATTTCAATATAAACTTGTGTTCAGATTTTCCTCTTTAAGTTCAGAGTTCAGAATTCCTTCCATCAACTTTAACTTCTATTAAAACCAGGGCAAAATTATGTGAAATAAATACAAGAAATATCATTTGTATAAAAAGAATTTTTTCTCTAATTGTTCATCAGGCCGTTAGATTCCATCTTTCACCTGATTTTCATAGAACTTGAGCTATTCATGTGTAATCTTACACTCTACATCCAATCCTACATTAACCGTCATGTGTTCAAATTTGAACATATCTAGCTTTTTCGTTGTGTTCAACTGGATTAAAGTTTAAATAGATGGATCTTTAAAGGAAAAATATTCTTTGATTCTCACACAATGACATATCATTTATAACTCTACCTAAAACGATACCAGTATTATAAGGTTTTATAAGAGAAACTCTCTTATAGAAGTACCATACTGGCCTAGGTCACAAGTAGGGACTGTGAATTACAGCATTGGAATACATCAATTTCATAGAAAATTACCTACTTCTGGAGAGATTTACAAGATAAACAAATTTTTCAAAAATGCAGGGCGATTGTTTCTGGGAGTTAATGAAAGGGGATCTAATCTACTATGGTCAAGAACATTACTCAGATTTTTATTCCTTTTGTAAGCAGTCACCAAACATTTAGTATAGGTGATTGGGAATTCGTCCTGAAGTTCTTTATAAAAGCGTTTGACACAGAGGCATTTTTAGCTGTAGAATTGTAGGTGACAACAATAGGTATAATTTGATTGTCATGCTGTATATTTAGGCCGTTAGGTACAACTGTTTGTAATTGTCCTATCCAGAAACTCTCCCTACGCAATCGCTTGGTTTTTGCTATGATCATTGTAATTACAGATACAATGGAATGATTGGTTGAATTGAAATGATACGCGATTGGTCTGTCTTTTTTAGAATGTCAAAGCAATGACCGCTTAGACGAGTATGCAACATGTTTTGGGCTTCGCCAACAGTGCCCTAAAGAGATATTTTAATTTTCACATTCTACTTTAATTGTAGTAGAACTGCATCTCCAGACATGAATTCTGAAAATGATACAGCTCATATTCATTATTATCAGCAAAGCAAAAATTTAGGTGACAGTGATAGAAATCAATCCCATTGCTGTCAAACTTGTAATCAAACATCAACTAGTATCTCATATAAATTCCCATGGGTACATGTCATTAACTGACCACATGGACTGGACATATCTAATTAGGGTGTATTGATATTTCACTTGATCTCCACTAGTTACATGATAATGACAAGAACAAGTAATGAGATCCTGTGAAAGGTTAAAAATAAAAATAATGATGTCATTTTCTGTTAAAAAGGTAATCAAAGTAATAATCCTGTGGTTTGCTTAAAACCAAGTTTACCAAAACTTTTCAGTATAAAATACTATGGTTTGTCTTTTAAACTCGAGTAAATCCAAAAAACTCCTCCAACTAGCCAAAGTCAAGAGCAATAAGACAAAAACTGCTCATTGACAAATCAAAAAGATATGCTTACATGTAAATTTTATTAATTTTAATGTCCGTCTCTCATAAACTTGCATTAACAATATCTGCCATCTGAATTGTCATCTCGAAAACTTTTCAAAAATTTTAAAATTCAATTTTGACCCAAGCATGGACATTAGAAATGGAACTTAAGAATGTATGATGCCTTAGTTGAAAAATGTGAAAGAATTGTCAAGATGAACTAATGCACAAGTGAAAACATAGATGAGGACATCTTCTCATATCAACTTCACAGTCAAAATGTTTTCTTACTGGGAAGTCAAAATTTGCTCTGGTGATGCATCTCTTTTAACAAAGAGTATCACTAGACTTCAATAACAAGTCAGCCTGCACTAAGTAAACAGAAACTAGATCTATATTATATAAAATATAAATAATATAAAATCTAAGTAAAGCTTTATTGGTAAGATATTTGTCACGAGTCAACTATTTTAAATAGAAAATCTCTTCTTAAATATATCTATAATAATAGTCAATTCTCCTTGAAAATCAACAAGACAAAAGTAGGTCAATTCACAGTAGCAATGAGCTTTAATATATGAATGAATGCATCCACAGATGCACCTTCTTCAACAAATTGTAACTAATCTTATCAAAATTGGTTTACTTATTTCAGTATTGCTGTGTTATTTGTTATATAGAAATTGTGAAATAGAATACAACATTTGTTTTTAGTTTAACAAAGTAAAGCAATGTTTATTTTTGTATAAGTGTAAAACATCAACAGTATCACAGTACCATTGAATAAAACATAATAGTTAGATAGAAAAGCAAGAAAAAAGTTCTAACTCCTTCACTTCGGCCAGAATGAATCAAGTTAAAGCTTTCTCATTGGAGGGTGACAACCTAAATGTTTCAATTTAGCTACCCATATATGAGGTTAAAGGTTTGAAATAAGTCATCTAAAACATCTTTATTTAAAGGAAAGAATGGTGTAATAAAATAATTTTTACAATTAAGAAAATGTTGACCTTCATAGATTAAAAAAATTACAGCTTCCTGAAAATAATCTTTCAAAGAGCTCACTCAATTGTGGTGGGGATGGTGGGGATGTCACCAGAGATGGAAGGTATGGTCACTCTTCCAGCAGACAATATTTTAGAATATAATCTTAAGCTTACATGTTTTCGCTAGTTCTTAGATACCTGTACATCAATATATTAGCCTACATTAAGAACAAATTATTCTAAATCAGATCCTAATATTGGTGATAAGCCTTTGATTCCCATAATCAAAGGAACTTCTCCAAGCTTCAGGGTTCTTGAAAAGCTAGTTGTAAAAGAAGGAATGTTGAAAGAACCGCATCAAATTCTACAATTGACAGGCTTATACAAACATTAAGGAAAGAAAAGGCAGAGATAGTCAGTTTTTCATAATTTTACTTTTATATTCTAAAATCATCTAAATATGTGTTGAAGAACAGTACATCACATTTCTGAATGAGTCTAAGAGTTTTTGGATTGCAATTGAATTGGCTACGGTCTTTCATAAAACTCTTTAATAATTTTGTACTAATTTGTCAACTGTCATCCCCATCCAATAAATTCATAGTCCATAATTAAATGGTAAATTACATTGTTTTAAATTAGATGATATTTTTCTCATTTAAAGCTGTCTGCTAGAAAAATTGTATTGAACAATGACTCATCACAATGCCTTTATTCCACTATGTAAGCTTTAATACTATTAATCTATTGCAACTGAAAAAAGACAGTTTGGGTCTGTGTGGTGTCAGTATTTTAAGGAATCTATGAATACTGAAATATAACAATTCAATCATCTATCATTTATCTTTCATAAAAGACGAAACACTTTCATCACTGTTTTTCAACCTCTGACAGGACTGGTATCAATCAATAAGTTCTTAAAATAAAGAATAACCTCACACGTCACTTTTGGGGACTTTGCTACTAAAATAAGCATGAGAGGTTCTGATTCTCAAAGAGTTGCTGTCTGACAGTCTGATACAAAAACCTATTCCTTTCCCTCTGACCTATGGCCAGTCATATTCAACAGACAATTAGGCAAATGGGGGTAGAAATTATTTGACTTATCAGTCCTTAGATATGGTAACCATCTGCTACTTAAGCAAGAAGATATATCAAAAAAACAGAAATATGCACTACTTTACCAGAAAATGCTTCTAATTATTCCAAAAATGTTTGTCCACTTATCTGGGAATACTTACAGAATTCTACAAAGTCTGATATGTTTTTCTCCCTGCGTAGTGTTGAATTTGAGCACTCATCATACAGAACAATAAGCACATCCAATAAGGTCTCAACGCTTAAGGCATTTCCATCACTGTTTGTTACACCTCCAACATACAGGCGTTCTAACTTTTTCAGTCTTTCTTCGGCCGACATGGCCAGTTTTGACTTTTGTAATCTCTTATAATATTATGGTTCTCTTAAACTTAATAAAACTGCTTTGAAATTTGTAAATTTAATGCTATTTCCAATATAATGTCAACCCATCACATTGTCAAATATATAAACCTTTTCACTAGGCCCTAATTAAGTAACATAAACAAGTTTGTACTTTTTCTCTCAGCTGTCATCTTGGCCGTGCCTGTTCAGCCAACACGGTAGAGAGTGGGCCAGGCCTGGAGAGATTAAAAAGACATCAGAATATTTAATTTGAACGGTATCCAACAACAATATCCACGATTTTAGTAAACAGTTAAACAGTTTGACAATATTTCTGGCTCTTTCCTATGTCCACATGTCGGTAAATTGTAGGTGGATTATAACTTTTATTGCACCAATTTACTAAATTCCATAAATCCCAAAAAGCCAAGATGGCGGCGTTGTCTCGATTCTCCAGACTGAAATATTCACATCACTCGACACTCGACACGATCAAGACCTGAACGTGAATTATTTGACAGCTGCAACTCTATGGTTGATGTCTAGAACCGTTTCCAAATTGTGACACCCCTCTTTAGTCAAATAAATTAGATATAAAAATAATCGGAAAAAGTCATTATCATTAACAAAAAACTTAAATTTAAAAAAAAAAAATATACATAAAAAACAAGTGTGAACTATTCCTTTTTTCAGGGACAATTGTTTGTCTTGCAAATGACAATGTAAATATGTTTTCTTCTCTAGGTAAATTGAGAAGAGTCTCAATGATAACACTGGCCTTTTGGTTTCATGTCTGCATTTATAATGTTGCAAAGAACTAGAAATAATTGCCTAATGAAGACTGGACAAATAAGGACCAAGTTTTAATTTGACCGGATTGCTTTTGAATTGGGAGGCCATCCGAAGAAACGTGTATACTCACATCACAGAACTATAATATTACAGTTCTATGCTCACACAAACAGAACACACGAATTCTCAAGGATCCACCGACGTTTGAGTTAAAGGGCCAGCTTGAGTGGGTCAAAAGAATCAGATGCTCAAAATACGTTAAAGGGTCATTTCGTTTTTGACCAATCATACTTAAATCTCAGAAACTGGAATTTTTTTAGCTGAGCTAATCAGTAATAGTGTTCACAGCTCACCGTTGAAATTTGAACCTTCAAATCCATGTGTGTCCAGAATTATCTGCGCTTGTATGTTAAAATGACGACTCGTCATATTAAGATACTCTATGAGGTATAGAAAAGACATAGAAATAGTGAGTAAAATTCCTAGTTTGAAGTATTTTTAATGGAATTTTGTCATTTTCGTGAATTTCTTGTACTTCTGGAAGACTATATACATAAATCAACCCCCCAAAATGGCACAACTGTCAAGAAGGCCAAAACTACTTTACGTTAACTTATAAAGTCGCTATATCGTTTATGGTTGGTGTTGCAAAACTTGTTTGGATTTAAACAAAATTTACTTCAAGTACAATCACCCTTTTTCAAAAGAAGCAGATAGAAGTACAGTGACTATGAAAAGTTATGAACAATCTTCTCAAATATAATTTAGAAATAAATAGGGGACATTTTGCATTATTGCCCCTTTAATGTTTACTTCTCTCTACCTGTTCTATTAAACACTACTATAGAGTCGTGTCGAGAATGTCTGGGAAATCCCGACTGCCATTCCCGATACTGGGATGGCGAGTGATGTCATAATTAAAATTTATGTCTAAGACATTCCAATCATTATTTCACTCGTTCTCCATAGTTTTAAATGTTTACTAAGTGACTTAGTGGTAGAATTTATTGAATTATTTCCCATATATCGAAATAAACTTTTTCAGCCAGAACAGGAAAATACACCTCATATCTAGCGAATTGGGCTAGATCTAGCTAATATTTGCTATTCAATACTACTCTTGGATAAATTCTATTCTTCGTAAATAAATTTGTTGATGAAGCCCCCACCTCCAGCTCCATGTAACCATTTCGGCAAAGTGCTGACAGTGTGCTCTGAGAAGCAATGTCAAAGTGAATGGAAATTGTTGTTGTGGTCTGGATCCAAATTATGTTTTAGAGTAAGTTCCCCTTAATAGCAATGTTTACACTTCAGTAGAATTTTAATACCCGATTCGATTGTAAGTTCCACCGAGGAATAAATAACACAATAAGTTAATTACTTTACTATTATTAAATGTCCAGTTCTCATGTGTCATAACTTGACAACGTGTTTTCTTGAAATGAATCTTCTGTGTTATCTCTTTTTTTTACTAGATTATATCATGTAGTCTTAGTTGACCAGCCTTTAAATGGCAATGGTTTTAATGCTAATAATAGAATGATAGAAGGCGAAATCTTCTTCTGACTAATAATCATCAACATTTGATCTTGCTCTACAGTTTGATACTTTTCTGTTCAGTACAGTTATATGAATAAGAAGCTATTGGTGTTCCTGTGAGGGAGTGTTGATAAAGATGGCATGTTACGGATGTGGAGTTGGGTTTGGTGTTTTTAAAAAAGAGGTACATAGCCATAGGGCATAGAGGGGCATAGGATAGGCCTACATACATTATTGATATCAATCATTGTATGAGTGAAATACTAGAGTAATTACAGAAATATATTGATATGGGGGATTGCTTTGGTGTGAAAACAGTGCACACATCAATACAGCAAATGGGCAATTTCATTTTGGTATTTTATATATTGTTAAGAATAATGTAATGTAATGTAATTTGTTACCATGAAATTGAGTCAAATTTATTTCAACATGAGTAATATTTTTACAGCTACTTTAACAATTAATTTTATTTAAGCATGGATGTAAAAATTGTGGTTTTGCCTTCTGTTCAAAATGTCTTACAAAAGCTACAGCAATACCTAAACTTAATAATAGCAAGCATCATGTCTGTAATAAATGTTATGATATCTTAACAGGGTAAGTATCTATTTATGGGTCTCAGTCTAAAATTCTGGTTCCCAATCTATAAAGAAGTACTGCTTAGAGGAACCAGCAAATATGACAAAGAGTACAAGAGGTTATTAAATGTAATGGTACTTATAGTTCAAATGGTTTCTGCATTCTTTCAACATTACAAGTTCATCCAAGTTATGCAAGTTTGGATGTTTTGTTATATTTATATATATATTCCTTTATCCTAGGAAAGTTAAAGTGGAAGAAAGGAAACAGTATTCACCACCTAAAGCTTATCAAAAGTAAGATTATGATACAGTTTCTTAGAATGAGTTTTAATAGCATGTATGAGGTGCAAGTTCACAAACAAGTTGTGTTCACCAACAAAAAAAAAGATTTCAATTTATAATATCAAACCAAAATTTTAAACTTAATTAACTTAATCAATCAAAATTATTTCCAGACGAATGGCTGCTTTAGAAGAACGAGAAAAGAATCCAGAATCAAGTAAACACAGTTCACGAACAAATCCAAATGTAGATAAAGCAAAGTATGTAGGATTATCTAAAGCAGATAGAGAAATAGCTGAAAGATTAGATAAATTAAAAGAGAAAACACAACCAGGTAACAAAATTTCTTTCAATATTGCTTAAATTTAAATCATAAAGATCAAATCTGGGATCTTTGCATTGCAATAAAACCAACTAGAATTCAACCCTTTGAACATTGAATGAATGAAATGTCATTATACTCTGAACTCCAAGTGAAATAACTAAAAGAACACAACCTTCATGTTATGTGATGTCAACTGGTCACGGTCACTTAAGCAGCTGCTTGGGTATATATTCGTAATTATAAAAGGGTTAAATATTGTTGGAGCATAGTACTGCTAATATTAATGATACTATTTTGTGCAATTGTTAACTTGCATTTGTAGTGAGTTGATAAGTTTAAAACTGGAAAATAGTTACATTGTTCACTGTATAAAAAGTGGATGTATGAAAATTGTATTACAGAAGTGAAAACAACAGATAAAGATATAGCAGCTAGATTATCCAGATTAAAAGGTGAAAATCCCAGTCTGCATTCACAATCTACACAGCAACACGTACGTTTTTTACTTTGTATACTAACAATAGCTATTTGCCATTTAATGTGACCTCCATTGTTTTTCAGTATGAAGAAAATTTTCCAATTTCAGTTATTTCTTTTTCTCTTATTACGGTCAAATCTCTTTATATG